TCATCTCTAAGATAAAGAGATAGGATTAGATGATACTTAAGACCTCTTCCTGGTATGACATTTTAGGTACATGTTATTTTTTGAAGAACTCAGATTACCTTATTTTAAAGCATCTTACTTAGGAGGTATTCAGTGATAAACCTTGAGGATAGCTATCTAAGAAGGGTTTCCATTTGTGTCTGTTTTAGCATTATAGAAGAAGATTGCCATCGATCCAGATGTGGAAAGGCCTCAGATGCCATCAGGTTTAACACCTTCATTTTGTAGTGGAAACTAAGGTTGGGGGAGCTTGTATGATTTGCCTGAGACCTCACAAATACATGAGCCAGGCTGTGGACCAAGTCCTCTGGGCTCCACAGACAGAACTCTTCATTGAGATAATACTACTTTTCTATTCATAAATATAATTGATATAAAAAGATTTCTCTGGTGATGTCAGACAAGGGTTATGTGTTATTGAAGAATTGAAGAAAAAAATTCTGTTTTCTTATTTTGGGCCTTTCCACCAAAACTCATTTAAAAGAATAAGTCTTTTCAATTAAAATACCTTTATTCTCTTGCTTCATTTTTTCTTCAGTTTGCATAGTCATCTCCTTGTTCCCTTTACTCCTTTCTCATTTCTTCTCTTAATTATGTCTTTATGACCTTTTTCTTAAAATATGTCTGCAATTCCATAATATCCAATTAAATAGTATGTAGGTTTTGAGGGACTTTGGGCTATATCTTCTAAGCTCATTCTGTTTCTTGAAACCACAGTATGTATAGTATTGTGTAGTACTATAACCATTTCCTTTACCAGCATCATTTAAAAAAATACAAAACTTGTTTTTAAAAAATACTAAAAAGCCACACAGGGAGGCAGCATAGTCTAGTAGAAGGAAAACTGTACTAAAAATAAAGAGCTCTGGGTTCTAGTTCCTATACCACTTCTAATTGTTGCAACAAGTGAATTAAACCATGGTTTCTTGGCCTGTAAAATGGAATTCTACTTTCATTTACTTTTCTTTCAATTTTTTGTAGGAGAAATAAAATAGCTCTTTTTTATTTCCTTGGAAGATGAGTATGTATGAATTCAGACTGTAATTTTCATTTAATTCAAGAACACATCAATTTGCAAATGAATGCATTAATTTGTACAGTGAATTTAAGGGGTTCTGATGTGTGTGTGTGTATCTATCTATCTATCTATCTATCTATCTATATATACATAAGCAAAAAAAAAAAACAACAAAGCTAATCTATGCACTTTTTCTGTTTGTATTCAGAGCTAATAATTAGGTCTCAATACCTGAAATACATTTGAAAACTTGAGGTTTAAAAAATAAGGAAGGACATAAATTGATGGTAGGAGGAAGAGACTCCTCTACCAGTTTCGAAATATTACTTTCCTTTGCTTTTTCTTTTGAAGGAGGGAACGGGAGAGGGTTATGTCAAGACCGGTATTTCCTCCATTTACAAAATCATTGGCAGTTCTGGGGACATAATATTAGGTAAAAGACAGGAAGAAGAATTAGGAATTACTCCCTAATTTGGGAGACAACTAAGAGGTGATGTTATTATTGTTTATTTTGTTAGCAATTATTCTTTTTAATAAATAACTTTAAATGTTCATTTCTAATCTTCACTTTTGTAAAATTTAAAAAGGCCCTTTTCAACTTGATTCTATTAGAAGGATGAATGTTTTTCTCTTTTCAGTGCATTGTCTTCCCTTTACTCCTCTCCACCTTAATTCATTTTTACATATTTTTCCTTCGTTAATATCTTTTCCCTCAGATTCATACAACATAAGATGTTGTCCCATTTCCTTTCTTTCTCAAGTCTGATTGAAAGTCCATAAACATTGAGACAATTCAGTAATGATCTGTTGATCTCTAATGTTGGATTTTTAGAAACAAGTAAATGGGAACCCTGCCTATCCTTTATACAAACAAGGATTTTTATTCTCTTTTCAGTTAAAAACAATTTTGTCTGTATTTAATTCTTCTTTCAGTCAATTGTTCATACTTTTAGTCAGCCATCCTTCTAAATACAGCTAACTGATTTGCCTTCCTTCTTCCTCATTGAAAATCGGCAACTACCATTTAACCAAGTTTTAGTTCAGCACAATTTGACCGTTCCAAAAAATGTAGTACTATAGCATACATTCAGACAGATAGTTCCAAAATCATCTTTGTTTGAAGTTTTCATAGAGGTAAAACAGGTTTTAAGAATATGGATGTTAATTTGATTTTTCATCATTTATTTTAGATTTTTTCTTTAGTGTATGTAATACAATATTTAGTTATGCTTTTCTAATAAATAGCTAAATATTGTATAGCAAATAGACTGAGTCCGGCCACACCAGACTTAAATCCTGAATGTGTAAAAGACATTTAACTTCCTAGTACCTCAATTTATTTTCCTGTACAGAGGTAAGTAGAATACTTACTAATTAGCTGATGCCTGAGACAATTGAGCAGTAATGTGGTGTAACACTTTTAGATCATTAGAAAAAATAATAAATCATAGAATCTTTATTTGGCTTTGTACTCAGATGCATGTTAGGCTGGTATTTGATACTGCTTATTGATTGTAATACTGATACATAATACTGATATTAAATTTGCAAGTTTTTTTTTAGACTTTAACTAGAGAAATCAATAGTCCAAACTTCCTGCACATGGAAAAGTTGGGAATAAGATGCATAGCTGACATGTGGATTAGTAAAATTCATTGTATTTTACCTAACATTTGCAGCTTATAATACATGTGTTTCCTTTGTTGGATAAATGATGTCTGATTTCCATTACCATATTATTCACCTGCATCAGGATGAATGAAGTTACATTTTTATTAAATAAACTTGAAAAGAAGGTAGATATATTATGTACTTGTGTAGAATTTATTGGATAACATTTTTTGGTGATGAGTATTTAAAATCTGCCCTATTACAACCTGGAGAAATGTATTCTCTCTTGTGTGGAAAGCAATACAGTGCTGAAATATTCCTCCTTAATTTTGATCAGAATGAACAAAAGTGTCTGTGTTTATTCCTGCCTAATGCATCACAAATCTGCTGACATGCTAACCTTGGAGTCTTGGCTGGCGTTAATCAGGCCTGTGCACCGGCAGGAAAGATGTACCTAATGCACTCCATCAGTGCAGTTTGCATATGGAAGTTCTCACAGGGGAGCTGCCCTGTGCCAGCTGAGGGTTACCTGCCCACTGCAGTTATTGTATGTAATTATCGAACCAATCTGTTCAGCCCAGCAGGGTTTAGATGGTAATCATGAAGCAACACTTTGGAAAAAGAAAGATGTAAGGCACTCTCCCCTTCTCTCATCAGTTATGTGAAGTTCTAACCACTCTTAAAGCTATTTTAGTAAAGTAATACCTCTGTATACTGAGCTGTTAAATGAATGCCACTTGAAGTTTCTTAAGGCTTAGTCAAGTTGTTATTTTTGCATTTGTTATTTATATGTTTTTGGAACATTATACATACATACATACTACTTACTTCTGTCTGTATTTTAATCTTTCAATAGCTACCTTAAGAATATTTTTGAAACAATTGGATTAATTGTTATACACCACATAATAACAGTTCTGTCCATTTGGAGGTTTTAAGATAATGTGGCTTGAATAGAATTCAGCTTTCCCATGTAGTTCTCTTTGGAATAGAACCCATGGCTGCCATTAGGAAAAATAACAATGTGCTGTCAGCAGGTGTTAGACTTTTTTTATAGCTGTACAAAAATGGCCTGAAGCAAAAAAAAAAAAAAAGTTTAACTTAATGTTAATTGCTAGAAAATATAAATGGGGACATTTGTTATACTCTGGGATAGTGAGATTTTGTGTGTATTGAATTATTTGCCAAATGATGTAAATGGACGAGGTTGCTATGAAAATTAGGGAAAGCATGGGTATAAAATTTGGAATTTTAGACATTTATATTTTAAAATTCACATTGAAAAAAATCCAAACTAAGAAGTTTTTGAAACTTCTTTTATGATTCTCATACCTGCATAATTCAAAAAGAATAAATGTAAGACACTAAATGAACCAAATAATACAAATGTAGTAGGAGCAGGAATAGAAAGAATGAAAATAGAATGTCTAAATTAGCTCCTGACTGTATGGATCAACTGGAAAAAAGAAGAGAAGATAGGAAAAGATCAAAGCCATTTTGAGAATTTAGGAGCAGGCCTCTGTCTTTAAGTCTAAACAAACCATTATTCCGTGAGCAAAATGTGAAGGCTTGTTATTCAAGCTTGGCAGAGTTCTACCGACATAGTCCTTTGTAACAAAAATCTAAAAGTTACCATTTGGAGGTCTATCCAAGTCCCCCTGACTGCTAATGCCTTCCCTCTAAGATTGCCTTCCATCTGAGATTACTTTTCTTTATCTCCAGCACTTGTCACAGTGGCTGACACACCTAGTAAATGCTTTATAAATGATTGTTAGTTGACTAGAATTCCTCCACTAATTCTGTTTGAGCAGTGATATTTTGTGATAGATAAAATAAGTAAATGCATAATATTTTTGTATAAAAAATGATCTACTCCAGGTGTGAAATAAGGTTAAGGTTAATAAAAAGAATTAGCAGTAAAAAAAGGAAAAAAGTATCATTTTACTACAGTATTTTCAAAGAGATGCATTGTATGTGCTTTCCTGTATGACCTGGGGCTAATCACATTCTCTTTCTGAGCCTCAGTTTCTATAACTGTAAAACCAATTTAATAATATTTTATAGATTATATAACATTTATATTCTGTTTTGCATGGTAGCACAATCTTTTATTCATAGTAAGTACTTAAAATGCTGAATGAATGAATAGTTTTGATGTATAAATGTTGAGATTGCTCTTTTATTGGGAGATAATGTGGATAAGGGATTAGAGATGTGATTATAATATGCTTTCAATAAGCTACATATACTATTTATATTACTGTGTTGTGGTAAATTTGTCTATTCATTTATTCGCCTATGTCAGACTAATATTTCTTTCTTTTTATATTAGAAGCGAAAGAAAGAGATAGAGGAAAGTGTGGCATCGGGTACTGAAGATATGGAAATTTCATATCAAAATATATTGGAGGGAGCTCAGACTCGTAAGTTGAACACAAACTTCCTTTGCTTCTTCCATACTTGACACTTGGATTTTCTCATCGTAGACAAGTATTGAAAGCATCTATTTATGTGAGAGTATTAACTTTTTTATGCTAAAATTGCTTGCCATGAAAGTAGTTTTCTTAATAAAAACACTAAATATTTATAGCATTTTGTAATTTTCAAAATGCTTTCCCATGCAGTATCTAATCTAATCCTTACAATAACCATTTGGTTTAGATAGGGTAGGTACTTTCTCCATTTTACACTTGAAGCTAAGTCTTCCTTACAACAGCATATTTGTCATTACTTTGAATTGTTACTTTAAAAATATAAGTCTTATAAGGTATCTCAAAAAGTGTTCTCAGAGCTACAATTCAAGCACAATTTACAGAAGACTCTATACGTGTTCTTATGGTTAAATTAATGATTTATCCATTCATAGATATTTTGTGGGAAGACATGGTAGATGTTTACTCTTCCTGAAACCTGCCTATACCCTATAACTTTTCATTCACAACCAATCTCTTATTTATTACCTGAACCATTTGTACTTTTAAACAGCACTCATATTTATATTTGAGATATCTCACATAGAAAGTGTATTTAGTTAACACCATGGAGGGTAAAGGTAAGGAGAGTTAACATTCCCACTTTACATCCTGTTGCCATCTTCTATCTTCCCACTGTTCTTCTCCTTCCTTGTCTTGTTTATTTTGCTGTTAGAAAGTGATATGTTTGAAGAATCACTGCATTGAGGCATATCTCAGCCACAGACTAGCAGCAGCAGCTACAACAGTGAGTGGAAGAAGAATTTAGGAGTAGTAATAAAGAGATGAATATTCATTTTTAAATACGTTAAATTTTGGTATAAGTGACAGTTTTGACTTTTGGTCTAAGTTTTGAAATTATTTCATAAGTATATAGAAACTCATGTGGTTGTTCTTAACTATGCTTATCTATCTGTCTGTCTATATACACACACACACACACACACATCTGTTTTACATACAAAGTAAATTAGGAACATTTTTATTTAATTGAAATTTCACTTGTAAAGCTGGTTTTTATATAACTTTTCTTAACTAAAGAAATAGTAAGGGCAGGGGGAAAGAATAGGTATATATGCTTCTGAAGTGGGGGAACAATTCGGATATTTGATATCTGAAACTTGAAATTGGTTGAAATAACTCTGAGTTGAGTAGTTTTAACCAAATTCTTCCTTATTCAAATCAGTACTTTGGTTTGTCACATCTAAATGTCCATTTTTCCTCGGTAGCTTATCTTTTCTCTGAAATAGTAGACTAGTTAAGATAATCTGATATCCAAGTGTTCATCAGTCAAATAAGCTTCAACTGAGATGGCACAGTGATGGCAGCTACTTGAGAGGGATAGTCTGAGAAAAGAAAATCATTCACCAGGTCAAGAAAACTTTAGATAGAAAAAGAGCACACTTCCATTTTGTTTTGCTATATACATAATAAAATTCAGTTTGTGTTTTGAGGCTTCCACATTTAGTGTCACAAAAGTATTTCAAGAGTATAGTTACCTCCATCAGTAGTTCTAGAAATGTCAGTTTCTTCATTAACAATTTTATTTTCAATCACAATTTGTAGTTTATAATATGGTAGGAGATTTTGCTCACCATGGGATCTTTTAGAATGCCATACAAGGCAAAATGGGAGCAGCGTTCTTTTAATGTCTATTTAGACCATTTAAAAATATGTATTATTTCCCTCATATACCTAAACTCATTTTGAATAGTTGGTAGTCCATTGTGTAAGAACATATTCTGAAAGCTTTCAAAATGTGTGTTGTTCAGGTTTTCACTAAAGAAAGAGGGGGGTGATTGGGTTTGTTCCCAAGAGCATGGTTCTCTAATACTTTTATTTTTATGTGAGACATAGTTTTTACCAATTGAGATTTTTTTGGCTAAAAATACATTCTTCCCCAACACAAAATAAACTTTAAAAATCATGTATAGTCTATTCACTATCAGTGCTAATTTTTTCAGAATTGTGGTAAAAATTGGTTAATAACACTTACATATGTATGTATATGTATGTACATATGTACATATGTATGTATGCTTTACTCCCTGATATTTTGGAAATTATTTTTTAAAAAATCTTTAACTTTGGGACCAGAACTAAATAAAGAGATTAATTGCATTGTATTTTTGGTAGAACAAAGAAGTTTTGAAGAAAAAAAATAAAAACAAAGTATCAACAAATTTCAGCTGTTAATATATATATTTCATAGTTAGGTTGAAATGTCTTTTACCTTTTTCAAACACTGAGTTTTACACATTTTCCTAACATTTGGAATACCTTTGTACATTTTATCAGTTAATAGCGAATATTAGAAATGATTATATTTTATATAAGAACAAAAATTAAAATAATTTCTTTATAAATTCATAGAATTATGCTTTTCTGGACCATCTTGCCCACATAACCACTAAAATTGACACTCCGGGAAAATGTTAGATTTCAACATAGGTAGAATAAGTCTCCAAGGTATATATTTTTACTACCTACTACCTAGTGTTGGTGATGACAAGATGTGGCCAGTAATATATTAAATAAAGTGAGGGATATGTTGTAAAAATAAAGTATCAGTGATTAATCAAACTTGAGGCTCATTATACTTTAGGTTACGGATGACATTAAGAATAAAGTTATACTGAAGGCACTTTACAGATTAGAAGCTTACTCTAAATAGGTGATTTGGAAATTGCTTTTAATCAAAATTTTAAAGAGGAAGTCAAAAAACAGTTTTAAAAATTATCAAAATATCACCTTTGGGTTACATGACCAGGCAGATGACAAATTAGTTATGGTCTCCAAACATCAGTGATGTGGTGGTAAACGTTTAACAACTAGTTCTCTGAAAATACAGGACACAATTTTATGTTTAATTTACGTTATTAACATTTTCTCCACTACTTTTTTTTGGGGGGGGGCAATTGGGGTTAAGTGACTTGCCCAGGGTCACACAGCTAGTAAGTGTCAAGTGTTTGGTCTGAGGTCAGGATTTGAACTCAGGTCCTCCTGACTTTAGGGCCAGTGCTCTATCCACTGCGCCACCTAGCTGTCCCCTCCACTACTTTCTTAAGTCTAGACAATCAACAAAACAATAAATAAAACTGATTTGTAGTGTTTACTCATTTCTGGGGTATAAATGATCACACTGAAAATTTTGTCATTTGGCTCTCACCATCAACTAAAAGCTGGCTCCAGCACAGATATGACAAATATCTTCACACATCACCCCTCAGTGAATTTTGTAGTAGAAATTACAACTATACATATCCATAGAAGAAAGAATCCAGGCCTGATAGGGCAAAATCCTTTATGAATTCCTGATTTTCTAATAGAGTGTTTACTCAGTGCCTCTCACTCACCAACTTCTTCTCTATCTATCCTTAGCAGGAACACAAGCAAACTTGTTCAGAGCTCAGCTCTGGAACAGGATCTGTTTTGCTAAATGACTCTGCTTGTGTAAACTGTACTCTGCAAGAAGTGACAGTTAAGTGGAGCAGGAAACAGAAAGGATGCCAGCATAAATGGTTGGTTCAGGCCTGAAAGAAAGGGTCCTCAAACCCTTCTGGGGCTTGACCATGCTTCCCCACAGGTTACTTAAGGAAGGGATCCAGGCCACTAAACCTTTTAACTCCCCCAGTGAGAGGAACCTAAGGCATACTTGTATCTTAACCTTGGTGTCTACTCGCCAGCAAAGGCATGAAGCCTGAAAGTGAGTAATGGGGAATGTTTTATAAAAGGCTGAAATGTTAAAACTATCAAAAGTAAGTACCTCAGAAACACAGAAGACAAGCAAATAAATCAGCAAAAGAGATCCTAAAGCCAGAAGGAGGAATGAATAAACTTCAAAGAATACAAAGCTCTCCTTCCAAATAGTATCATATAAAGGAAAGTAAACCAATGATGTCTGGATTCCCAAGAGAGCATGAAACGGGAAACTCCAGAATCATTCAAAAAAGAAGTAAAATCCAGAAGGAGTTAGAGGAATGAATATAGCTCAGAAATTAGAACTCTCAATGCAGAATTGTTATTTTAATGAATGGATAAGAAACAATTTGAATGTATGAAGGAGAATCTCAAAAGAAGTGAAAGAGAAATGAACAGATTTGGAACACAAAAATACCAAAGTGGAGAAAAATCTGGCAAAATTATTATTATAGAATTGTTACGACAGATTTGAAAGACTGACCTAAGAAATTAAAGGATAAAACAGGGAAATGAAGAAAAGACTTATTGGAACATAAGGAATCTGGTAGAAGAGGTGAACTGAAGCACCATGTTTTAAGTCTCCTGATCTTCCTACAGATGAATCTTTATCTTTTGCAGAGTGGAGTTGCAGACTGGGAGGTTGCATAAATGGAGAGAGGAGAGATAGGAGACAGAGGGTAACAAGTGATACCAAATCCATAGAGGAATAGTGAGCTAAAAGTAATTCCAGTAGTCTGCAAGCACGTAGGAATGTGGCTAAGATAGGAGGGATTGATACAGGGGTCTAGAAGAGAGGGAGGGGTTTTATCCCAATGAGGGAGCCAGTGATGATATTGTAGAAAAGTACTCACATGTGAGAGGAGATATGCATTTGAAATGGAAGATGGGGACCTCATAATGACAGTAATCTGAAGGAGTTTGTGCATTGGGAGGCCACCACTTGGTAAAACTACTACCCAGAATAGCAGGGAAAACATAGAGGTAAAGATAGAGAACACTTCCTTTGAAAAGGAGTTTGGTCATAGTGGGCATGGAGTGGAGCTTGGCTACAGGATTTGGGACACATAGCAGTTTTTGCAACAGCACTGTTTCTGATGTTGCTACCCTCACAAATTGGTATTTCTTTTTTTTAATTAATTTATTTTGATTTATCAACAGTCACCTCCATAAGCTTTTGAGTTTAAAATTTTTCTCTCCTTCCCCAAGATGGCATGCAATCTGATATAGGCTATGCATATACATTCCTATTA